TGAATAGACCCACTATGAAATTTACTGAGAACACTGAGTATTTTGTCATTGTTAAGCATTTATATTGTTGATCAGAAGAACTAGGTTCTAGTTTCCATTACGCATTACATTTCAGCGTCTTTAAGAAAATGATTACAGCTCATGGACCATTAATCATTCTAAAACAAGGCTTTTATATCTTTTTAAGAATAGAGATACTGCAAACTCAGTTCTCTACAATACACTTCCCCCTGTGAGAAAAACTTACTTTGCAAATTTTTTTTAAGCATGTTTGAGCAAAATTACTAAACTAGGGAGATGAACTGGTTGGGTGCATATTTTTGTTATGCAGGAAGAGTATGCAAAACTGCATGATTAAGAGCTCTCAGCAAATACTTCTCAAGCCTATACTTAAAACAGGATCCTTAAGTAACTTTACTATGTCTGCATGGCACTGCAGCATGTGGAAGCTGTACTTCAGCCCTGAGGAGCAGTGTAGCTGGGTTTGCAAGGCACTTTAACATTAAAAAGCAAAACAGACTCCACAGAAGATGGGCTTTTGTTCATTAATTTTGGCATAATGCTAGATTGCTGTATGTGTTCCAGGACCCAGGCTGACTCAGGTATTGCTGCCCAAAGATAACACTTTTCTGTGCAGCATTGCATGCCTCGCAGAAAATAGGGAGCCAGTGTTTTATTTTATGGCTCATGCATGAAGGGTTATGTCTTCCTCCTGTTTCTTTAAAGCTCAAGAACTTGATCTGTTTTTCTCACTGGTATGTAAGTGGCATACCAGTGCTAATTAAGTAGAAAGTGCGTACAGCTAATAGGGTTAAAACCATGTAACGTTACAGATTTTATTCAACTTCTATTATGTTATCTTGAATAAAGTTTGCATTAGTCAAATCTTCAATTTTAGTAAATAAAATCGTAACCATCTGTAACATCTCTTGTACTGATTATTGTGATTTTATCTGTCACTCACTGATTCAGAAACTGAAGCACACTGTTTAAGAGGCTATGACTAAACTGACATTTTCTTCTATACTGTAATTTTTCTCTGTAAAATTAATTACTTTATGTATAAACTTACTGAAGTACTGAAGTATGAATATAAGCATTGCTGATCAGTGTGAAATGTAAAGCTTGTGCTGCTGGTACAGGTTCTTCTTTCACTGTAGAATGTTTAAATGTTGCCTTAAGTCAATCAGTCAGCAGCACTGATTTATATATAATGCCAGGAAAGGAAGTACTATTTTTTAAAGTAAATGGTAAAGGTGGATGAGGGGCCCATCAAACACAATGGAAAGCAAGCTTTTTAAGAAGTGTTAGATGTACTGGAGAAAGGAAGTATGTGAACTTCAATCAGTGCTTTTAAAGTGTTTATGAAATAGCCATTTTTTTGATCCATATACTTGTTATTAAAAGAACTGGATGCATCGAAACAGTTTCATATGTACCCTTCCATTTCTAGAAAGTGTTCTTTGAAGCCCTAGAGGTTTTGTGGCAAGTACCAATGTTCTTGAGCTCAGCTGAAACCTGTCATCAGATCTCAGGTGAGTTCTTACCAGCTGTTCATGTCCCTTTTGTGGGAACTTTCCTGACAGTGTCATACCATCTCCCTTATCTTGGAGAAAGTCTTTGTGGGACCTTTAAGCAGACCCATTCAACAATCAGATGAGAAGGTATGGTAAAGCAACCATCCAAGGCAAAGAACAGCATTAGAAATTTATTCAGAATATAAGAACATTTGTAAAATAAGTATCATAAATGTCTCTGTATAAATAAATGCAGTTTTTACAATTCTATATCAAATGAACACAAAATAGCTATTTTACAGCAGCTAGGAAACTAAAAAGCAGCAACACATTTAGAGCTAATTCAGTAAGGTGAAAAGTTTCTAAAATTACAATGTATGGTACAGTATTAAAGGAGGATAAAATCCTAATAAAACCAGTAGAACAATACTGACATTAATGCAAACTTAGTCACATGTGCTTTGCAATAGCTAACAGTACATTCAAGCTGGTGAAAAGTTATACATTTAATTAGAAAAGAAGTACTTTTTTTCTGAACACACTGTGAAATACAAAGTTTCATGCACTCTGGTGACTTAGAAAATCAAAAAGAACCCTAATATTAATTAATGAGTGAACAACTTAGGTGCTCTTGGCAAGAACCACCTATATTTCCTGCTTTGCAAATGTATTATTTTCGCAGTAAGTGTTAAGTGAGTTAGGTTGCTGTGACGCAAGGTGATCTGCACACTCATCTATAGGCTGGTGTGCTGGTATTTCAGACAGTTGTGTAAAAGGAATTAGTTTTTCGGCATTTATTCTCAAGGTTGTTGCCATTTTAACAGGTACACTGGAACTGCAGCTAATTGTTAATATTAAACAGTTTTCACAATAACAGTAAACCTTTCACCACTTCCCTACTGGCCTTTTCCAGTATGCCAACAAATGAAGCATTAGCTGTGCTTGCATAGGCAAAATAACTGGTGGTCTGGCAAACTGGTCTTAATTTTTCATCTATAAGCCCTATGGGAAGAAAGGGGAGTGGCTTATGAATCATCAGTAAATGTAATTTATTCTAAAACGCTTCTACAGCACAGTTGGCAGGGAAGATACACAGCAAATGTAGTAGAACAATGTTTAGTTTTTCAGGCCTATGATTCTGCATAAAGGTGCTGAGGGACACTGCAGCTTTTTATGCCTTTAAACCCAGGTGCATTTTAACCTTTCTTAGTTTGTGTCTTTATGGGCAGGTTTCAGTTCAAATGCTTTACGCTTCATTGTATTATGTTTAACAGCTTCTCTAGCAACCAAGAAATAGAAAAAAAATCAAGCATAAAAGGAAATCTAGTGCAGCAATGATTTCTAGTCACCTTAAGTGAAAGGTATTTCACATGGACAGTTTGAGATGACTTCAAGTTACGTGGGTGCTTCAGATGCAGAAGACAAAACTGTAACTGCGTTTTTGCCACAGTCCACAGTGGATGATTTTCTTGATGCTTCTTCAAGAAACAAATGTGATCAGCTACCACTGAAGCTTGTGGCAAAATCCCACATTCCTGTTGGTGAGAAACTTGTTGGCCAAAAAAGGGGAAACACCATATGTAGATACTTTGCAAAACCATAAAGACAGTAAGAAATCAATGTGCCTGCTCAGTCAAGAGACTGGTTTGCAAAAATTTTGATTCGTATTATAACTTAAGTGAAACTATCTTGAGAAAGAGGACTGATCAAAACCAGTCCTAGGGCATCACTACTTACAACTTAATGATGATTTCAAAATTGTTTTAACTTGCTATTGCAATCAATTGTATATGATGTTGGCTTTGTAGCTGATGTATCAGACTCTAAACAAGTAGGACTCACTACCCTAAGAAAAGAAGAAAACAGCAGCTACAGTAATAAGAGATGTCATGAACACCAACTGCTACAGTTTCAGATGTAACCAAGGCTTAACAATAATGCCGTATTCTGAACACAAATTCCCACAACTATTTTGGCTTCCTGGCCTAACCCAAAGAAGACAAAAATGGTTCAAGTCCTCTAAAAATACTTCCTTAATACTAGAAATTTGAGGAATAAATGAGAGAAGTTATCATAATTCTAAACACACTAATAAAACTTGAGGTGCACCTCAACATGTAAAGCAAAAAGGATTAGACAACTCCTGAAATCAGATTCACTCAAAAACAGAGCCTGAAAAAAAAACAAAGTAGAGGTGTAGCACAGTAACAGGCTAACAAAGTTAATGGACTCCAGTTTGGCATGTTAAAACAAACATGGAAGCTGTTTTACGTACTCAGTCAAAAAGAAGCAAACACAGAATGAAACAGGTGCTATGGCAGACTCCTGTATTTTGTTCCCTAGAGAAATCAACCTGATCCCCATGCTTTGCTTAATGTTCATTACCATAACAGGCGAACATTTTCAATTCAGTCAGTTTGATAATACAGTACATGATGTGACTTAAACAAGAGAATGTTAGCAGTAACAAAAACTAACCTAAGAAGCTGTGTGAAGACTTCACCATTCACATTCTGTTTGTGGCTGTATATCCATATACCTACACATTTATAGTTTTGTGCCTATGTATTCAATATTAAATAGGTACATTCCTAGTAAGTACCTTTTTTGGTCAAAACAAGTATAAAAAGAAGACATTCTACCTCTTGATCACAGAAAGCCGTAATAAGCACTATAAACGTGACAAAAATGGCCCAGCTTCTTAAAGAAAACCTTGGCTATAATGTATTAACAAGAAAAAACAACTGTTTCACAAAATAATTGCAAACATCATGCAATATAAATACCAGGAGGTCTCCTATAATTTCTTACCCAACCTTGGCACAGACTATCTGGCATGGTGAAACTCACAGCCTTTAGTCCTCTTACAAACCATAAGAAATACACCATTATCATAGTTTTCAGAGATGCAACTAGGGTTTCTTGGTTTTTCCCTCCCCCAAATCAGTTTTCCTACCTGACCTGCACTGTGAACAACAGCACTGCAAGTACGGTGCAAAAAAGCAAGCCACCCTATTATCTCCCCACTCTGTAGGTGCCTATTTAGTTGATTTAACCCCAGCAGGAAGTCTTGAGGGCACAATACAGAGTTGTATGCAGAGGGAGCTCAGGGATTGGGAAAAACTCTCAAATTATCTACTCCCTGCCCAAATTAAAACCTCTTAACATGAATTATTTTGCTATGTGACACTGTCACCCATGGGACATACATAAAATGAAGAGAAGCTGTATGAATATAGACATAATGACACAGACAATGTACATAACTATAGCATGATAATTCAGGCACTGCCATTTTACATTACGAAACAGTCCTTAAGGTTAACAATTATCCCCATGGCACCTCTCTGGGATCCCAGAGAAGGTGCTTAAGTGTGTCAGCATTGACAGTCAGAGCTTTAAGTGTTTGAAGCTTGACCTACAAGTCAACCTCCAAAAGAAAGAAATTTGTAATGGCACTAAGCATCTTTGAAAGAGATGCATTTAAAGTGAAGTTTCATTGGTGTGTGGTCTAGAGTTCTCTTCTTCTAGTAAAGCTATTCTTTGTTTGAGCATCCTTACTTGTGTTTCATGTCTCTCCACCATGGCCATCATTTGTGATTCCAGTTTCTTCAGCTTATTTTGATGCTTTTTCTTTGCTTTTTCATAAGCTGCCACCAAGTTGCTGTTAGAAATACAAGGCAATACAAGGTCATTCGAAAAGGCTTGTTCATAGCAAGTGCTACAAAAATCCACCCCAAAACCCCACCACCTTCAGGGAACTCCAAAGTTTGGGTACTGATCATCTTCCTGAAATTTACTAGTGCTTTAAAACATATTAGATCCAAACCCAGACCAATGCTAATCTTCGTATCTTTTCTGGGGCAAATACATACCTTTATCAGTAAACTGATTACTGAAAACATTTTTAAACATGGTTCAAAGAGCCAGTTAAGAGGTTGCTGATGATGTCCTCGCAGAGGACTGTTAGTGAGTCAGGATACCACAACACTAAACATGTAATGATTTACAAAAACATTGCATGACCACAATCTGCTCACAAAATCCAGCACTGATTTTGCATTTTCCATTTAGAAAAAAATAACAGTTACAGTCAGAGGATGGCATCTTGTGCTAATTTGTCAGCTGCTAAGTATCTTCTGTGCCTCCACCCTGAATCAGTAGGAAAGCTTGAGGTGGGTGCTGTTCCTCACCACAAGGGCTTTCAAGAGTAATTTATTAATGAAAACTACATTGTGAGTGATAGGCTCCTTGCAGGAAGGGCAGCTACAGTCCACCATATTCTCAGTCCATCCAAACACAGCGCCAGTAAAATCTACTGAGTGAGCAATAAAATTTAAGTGTGATTATCGAAGCCAGTTTATTAATAAAGAGGTTGGAGCCAAAGAAAAGGGAGCAACTTTAAACAAAATTAACAGATTCATAAATCTGACTAAATGGAATTTTTTGTTTCTTTTAATAATAATGCATTTACCAGTAACTCCCTTTAAGATTAACCTATTTGCCCCACTCTGTTATTAGCTATGTAGCTTTCCTCCCTGCATGGGAGGTTTATGCCTCCCCATCTCTAACCTTGAAGAGTCAACTCGTGTGAACGCAAGGATCCAGAAACTGCTCACCAAGGTAGGGGGGAGGATTACAGTGCATTACCAGAACATGACAAAAAAAAAAAATCAGCGGTGCATCCATCTGCTGGTAGATCCTTTACCTGTTTGCCCTTTTAAGGTCATTAACAAATTCTGCAGACTGCTGATGTCTGATTTCACTGCTCTTTGTGAGTCTCTCCAAAGCACTCACTAACTCTTGCACTCTAGCTTTCAGTTTCTTCTCCCTGGATTGGGAGAAAAGGAGGGAGAAAACTATTTTCAAAACAGAAATAACATTTCAGATTGCTTCACTTGAATGGTTGTCCTGTGCTGGGTTGACAGGCTGCAAATACTTCCGTTACTACTACTTCGATTATACAGGAGGTAGTTCTTACAGTAAACTCTTCCACAGATTGATTGTTATAACATTCACCATTTTAGAGTATAGATCAGCGCTGCAGCAGACAAAAGAGAAAACAAACTTCTCTGGTGGATCATGGTCTTGTATGTATCGAATCACACTAAGAAATAATCACAAAGATACATAAATAAAAATTTAAGAATACCTGGCACATGCCACCTACTGTGTCTTGAATGAGACAGATAGCAAAGAAAACTACCAAGGGATATCAAACATCACAGTAATCATATAGAAATTTTAATTCAAAATAGTATACCAGGATTGCTATTAAAGATAACTTACTAAACAAATTTCTTTTTACTTAGAAATTACGATAGAATCATAGAATAGTTTGGGTTGGAAGGGACCTTTAAAGAACATCTACTCCAGCCCCTCTGCAACGAATAGAGACATCAGCTAGGTCAGGTTGCTCAGAGCCCCATCCAACCTGGCCTTGAATGTTTCCCAGGATGGGGCATCTACCACCTCTCTGGGCAACCTGTTCCAGTGTTTCACCACCCTCAGAGCAATTCCATTGATTTCAGTTACAGCCTCAAACTTAACCTAATTTATACTACAGTGTATTACAGTAGATCACTAGGTTTTTTTAGGAGCCAGCAAGTCCAGTCCATGTGGCAGTAGGAAACAAAAAAGTTAAGAACAAAAGAGGGGAGTACAGACAGAAAAGGGCAAGCACAAGAAATACAGAAGAAGGGAGAGCACAGGCATTTTCTTCTACGAGGCACTCTTTCTTTCAAATAGGCCACAATAGTGAGGTTTAAAATGCCAGTATAGTTACCTATACTTACTTACCAATTATGAACCAAAAACTAAATGCATGAATCACGCCAAAATGGAAGTAAGGTACTTCGTAATATTTTCACGTTACAAATATCTTTATGAGGGAAGGAAAAAGTGAACAACACAGAAGTTCTGGGGAGGAGTAAGTGTTACAGCTTGGGGTTTAAGCTGGCTTTAAAAACCATTTCCTACTGCAGGCGAGCATGTGGCATGAGGCAGGTGCTTCTTCCCGAGGAGCTCCCTGCTGCAGAGCCCACAGCTACCCATAGCCCGCCCCTATACAGACATGGGACTGTCCCACCTCTTGTGCAAGGGTGCTGATGGGGAGACCCAGGAGCCTTTCTCTGTGACCCACCCTCACAGCACAGACAGCCCAGAGAGAGAAACATCAGATTTGAAAATAAAAAAAAAAGAGGGATAAGAATGACATGGAGCTGGGCTAAACTGGCATGAAGTTAGATTTTGCAGCATTGAAGTCTACACTTGGGAACTTTGCATGTGTGGAGACATTTGTCTGTCCTTTGCTGCCTAGAACCGCTTTGCAGTGATTTGTCTTTCCCTCCTGTCCACCCAGTTGCGGTGCTGCTAAGTGAGTAAATTAGATTTCACCTCAGTAACAAGACTACCACTAGCTCCCACGTAAGCCCAGCGAACCCTATGGGAATGAATACCCTAAAGTTTGTGTAAGCTTCCCCAGCACTGCACAGACCACACAGATGCTCCGCAGCAGCCTGCAGTTCCGAGGCTGGCCTGGCAAGGGCAGCATTTTATAACCAGAGACAAGGACAGCACATGTGGCATGTTTCACTGTGCCCGGCTTCAGCAACAGAAGGGCTTTCACAAAGTCAGCCGGGGAAATATTCCAGGTTAGCAGTTTATCCCAACACACTGCAGACGCTGGTTTACTGCCCAAATCAAAAAGGACATGAAGAGAGGCCTTGTTGATGAAGAACCATCAGTATTCTTTATGCGTCCTTTCATTCAAGTAACATACTCTCAGTTTTCAAATTACACAATCTTTTTCCCTAACGGTTAAAAGCTCACTAGCATCCACCCCAACCATAAATTTTATTTTTTACATCCTATCGTAGCAGTCAGAAAGACTCAGGACAGTCTACAGTCAAAATCTGTGTTCTGCAAAGAAAACAGAACAAAAAAAATCCAGTTTTTACTTGCAGTAGAAGACAAATAAGTAAAGGTCAGACCTGGCAGAGGCCAGACCCATTATCTAACATCTGTGTGGCACTACTGGTATGACAGGACAGAGTAGGATAAATTTGGTGCTTGTCTGCTCCAAAGGACGCCACAGCCAGAGGCTCTGGGGAAGGCTCAGTAGCACTGTGCCTAGCACTGCGACCTAGCGTGAACAGCACGTCCAATGGAATAAACATTTGCAGTATTTGGATGGGGAGAGAAAACTAAAGAACATGAGGGTGATCTAACATTACATGCAAAAAAAGGTATAGCTGTAAAAACACTGCACACAGTCCCATGGGAAAGAACCCTGCAGAGCCACAGTTTACTGCAGCTGAAGTCCTTAACACACCTGCTGTAACAAAAGCTGCGTGGAAAAGAAACACAGTGGAAAGACTTGGAGGAACTTGTCATGCATGGTAAATTTTGGTTGCTATAGTGACTGTTACCTGATGCAACAATTACATCACCTTTTGTCTGTTTTTGCACTCTCGCCTTTCAACCAGTCATGTTAAGTCTGAACTCAGCTAAACATCAAGAAGTATTTCTTTATGTTTGGCCTGTAACATCCTTGTCTAGCTGCTTGCCAAAGACACAGAGCCAGCAGAGTGGTAAGCACCCTGGGCCTCCACAGGCTAGTTAAGCAACTTTCAGATGCAAGTTCTGAACTATCTAGCTAAAGAGGTAACAGTGGGTAATCCTTCAAATCTACAGATGCCTCAAATTTGCATTTATACCAGTAAAATATATATATTCCCTAGGCTGACAAGATCCACACAGTTCATTTGGCTTTTCCTGCTGTAAGTCAGTCAAAACAGCACTAGCCTACTGACTACTCCCACCTTAATCTCAGGGAAAGCAACAGGCGGTTTCATTGCATGTGCTGTAATGTCCCAAAATCTCACAAAAACAACACATAGGAATCCACTTTTACACTTACTGTTCCCGATTTAAAACATGCCCAAAATCTCACAAAAACAACACATAGGAATCCACTTTTACACTTACTATTCCCGATTTAAAACATGCCTATCTAAATATCTTTACTTCAAGCGGCATTTCATAGAACAAGTAACATCTGAGTAGACAGACATAGCAGCAATAGTAAAAGCATGGTAAATACCTTGTTTCAGTCTGGGAAACAGAGATGCATATACACTTGCTTAATAACTATTACATGCAAAAAACATGCAAGGTCTTCCCCAGAGCGCTGCACCTTCTATTTTAGTAGCAGATGAGAGACCTCAAAGCTGTGCCTTTCTGGCTGGCCAGCAAACGCTCTACCCCTTCATTAAAATCCCATGCCTCATAATGCTAACTCTTCCCACTTCTCTCCATTTCTATCATTAATTACCTCAGTTTGGATAGAAAGAATTATCTTTATTTGTGTCTGTCCAAAACTGATTATTTAGTTGGGCAGTGAACAGGAGTGATAATGAATCCTGAGGTGCTATCTGGATTCCTTTAATGCATTACAGGGTTAGCTGTCTTTACGGGATTTCTAGTACCACTTCACTTTCCTGATTGCTATTATAAATCAGCAGGATATGAAGAATCAGCCATTATAGCCTTATAAGACAAAGTATTTTACAACAATAGTCCTAGTCATATGCAGCGTTTTTCCAGGATGAGAACACGTCAAAGCTGTGAACCGGGGATGGAACTGTATTTGATGCGGCAGCCATATGAACATCCTCCTGACAGGGACTGCCGTATGGCTGTGGCACGGCCTTCGGCTGCCAGACAGTCTTCCAGAGTCTGAAGAGCAAACTCACACAGAAGCTTACATGCCAAACTCACGCTGCTACTGTGCCCCAGGGCTGTAATACGGACCAGTATGGATCCTGAGAAAGCATTTATGTGCGTATTTTGATGGGAAGAGGGAAGGAGAAGCAAGTATTTTTGAGAACACAATTTCTGTGAGCCCCCAAGTCACAAGTCAATTGCACTGCAGAAGTCAGCACAGCTTTTGCTCCCAACACCTTCTCATCCAGCTGGCCACCGCCACCGGAGCTGTGGAAAACACAGCCGTGGCACCTCGTGCACACAGAGAAAATGAGCATGTATTCCCAGAAGAGGGAACAAGCTTATGATCCGAGGGCATGGCTTGCTTCCAGCACAAGGGCTGTCTGCTGCGGGGCACTCGAGAAGTCAGCTGGGGAAATCCCACACTGCTCGCTTTCCAAGGAGAAGCTCAGAATAAGAGTATTCGGAGGTCTACAGCCTAATCCATCATCCACTAAACCCACTATTTTCAGTGAAATGCCTAATATGCTGGCAACAAAGACTTTTGTATTTTCACAATCAAAACACTCAGTGGGCAGTTGCTAAGCAGTTTTCAAAGGCTTTTTGTTTCGGACTTAACAGGATGGTTTGAAGAGGAAGGCACATGGGCAGGGCGTAAGGTTTTCTCTGGTTTCAAGGCTACCACTGCAGAGAGTGGGGAATTCTGCCAGAGCCGTAAAGGAAACTATGTAACATCGGGCACATTTCTGCAGTTTCTGTCAATTTGGCCTCCACACAATGACACCATGTTTGGCCCAGAATAATGTAAGCAAGGTCTTGTGCACCTTATATTTTCCCTCCTGTCTGGGCTTTTCCAGACATGTTCAGGTTTCATACACCAGAAGTCTTCCCAGGCGGATTTTCCTGCCCTTGCTCATTTCATCGAGAATTCCCCAGTGCTGCAAACAGGATGCTGCTCTTCCCTGGCATGCAGAAAGTTGATTTTTCTGCCCCTGGCTTCGAGTGTACCCAGTTAACTCCCCCTCTTGGGAAAGAACAAGCTATTGCCCCTCTGCCCTGGAGTTAAGAGCACCCACAGCTCTTGCCAAATCCGGAGCAAAAGAG